ACATGAATTCCTTGAAAAGTCTCAACACATATGATTATTATCCCTCATAATAGCACTTTCATGCATTAAGAACAAGCATAAAAAAAATTTCTTGAAAAGTCCAACACATATGATTATTATCAAAATATTAAACTTTAATATAATATAAAAAAGGAAACAAAGAAGACATTTAAAAAAAAGAAAAAAAAAAGATATTTAAAAATCGCAATTCACATATATAGATAATTGTAAACACAATCTGTGCATAGCACATGTGATATGTTAGTCTATACTATATATTAAGCAAAAGGGGGTTTTAACCCCCAAGGCTTATGGGAGTTCCAATATCCCAATCCTAATTTTCTAATTTTTTGATTTAAAAAAAAAAAACCTCAGCATTTATTAATTTCTTCCAATCCCCATACCTTTTGGGAGATTTGTTCAAAACCCCCTCATAATTAAACTTTAATGCATTAAAAACTAGCATAAACAAAATTTCTTGAAAATTTCAACACATCTATCTATCTATATTATATTATCTATATCTATATCTATCTATCTATCTATATCTATACTATATATTAAGCAAAAAGGGGTTTTTAACCCACAAGGCCTGTGGGAGTTTCAATATCCGAATCTGAATTTTTTATATTTTTTATTAAAAAAAGAAAAACTCAACATTTATTGAGTTGGTCAAAATCTCTTGATCAACATTTATTAACTTTTTTCAATCCACATGTTTTTCCACATGCCTGCATTTATTGATACAATCCCCTGATTAGCATTTGAAATCCCCTCATATAAATAATTATAGATACAATCCGTGTATAGTTACTGCAGCACCCTTTTTAACTTCTCTCATACACTATGCTTAGTGATAAAATTGTTAAATTATTTTTATAAAAAATCTTATAAAGCATAATTTATATATTAAAAAAAATTTAAAATAAATATAAATAACTATAATTATTCCGTGCATAGCACGGGTGACAGGCTAGTTAAATTTGAAAAAGAGAATTTTAGATATTTTATATATATTTACATTGAGTTTAATGACTCATAAACTCTTACTTTTTATCTTATTTTTTTCTTATTTTACTGAACAAATATAAATAAATGATTTAGATCGAAAAAAATTAAAAAATTTAGATTTAAATTTAAATTTAAATTGATAAAATTAAAAATTCAAGATTAATTTTGTTACAACTCAAATTTAAATTTTTTTTTTTTTTTTTTTTTTTTTTTTTAAATTGTGCTAATTCTATGAAATTTAACGAAAACAAATTACCTGTAATAAAGATGAAAAATATTCAATATATTAACTAAATTTAGGTAAACATAATACTAGATCAATTCATGCTTCTCAATGTACAAAAATATTTCAATTCCAAGGTGAAATAAAGTTAAACTAGTGCCTAGTGATAAGTTGAAAGTTATTACAAAACAAATCAACACAAAAAAAAAGGGGGGGGGTAAAAAAAAAGATCAATCATGTACCCTTCACATCTCGGCACAAAACAGATTGGCACAAAAAAAATCAAGATATTTAAATTGCATGGATGAATGTCTAGCATAAAAACAAGGGGGGGAGGAAATCAACTGTATGCCATACAACACTGTGTGGGGAGCAAATATTCAGGCAAGCCCGTACTCCTTTCTTCCAAGCTCCTGTCTGTCCGATCGACCTGCGAGCACAACGGCGGTGAGCTACCTGACGGTGTGTGGCCGGGAAAACCCCTCCGATGATCAAGTTAGACACACACACAGGGATAGAGAGAGAGAGAGAGAGAGAGAGAGAGAGAGAGAGAGAG